CATTGGACTAGAGAGTGAGAGTTGTGGTGGGTGGGTGAACCTGCTGCTTGGGGAGGCAAGCTCCCTATCTGTGTTCCACCCCAGCCTCTTTCCCCTCCTCTCTCTGCTCACACATTCCAGCCAAATACCTGAACCCAAATGAAGCAAATGACATTTAGAAAAAAAATACTCTTCTAAAATATCTTTCTAAAGAAAATGGAGGATGTTTTCCGTTGCATGCCAGACTAGGAAGACTGGACATGTAGACCGTACCTAATTAAAAGCACTAAGTTTGGGAATAAAAAATGTCAGCCACAAGTTTTGGTTTATGTTATATATATATATATATACATACACATCCTGAAATTTGTCAGAGATTTATTTGAAAAAACTTTGTAGTAAGGGCAAGTCAGCTGTCATGCTGAATACAACACTGTTTCACATATGATGCTGCCCTTCTCTATTTTACATTTTCTTCATCATTATTTCTAAGCCAATTTTGTGTTGCAGATATACTCTTCAGCCTTAATCATTCCAACTTGCTACATACAGAAAGTCACTGAAACAAAGACATCATTTTAATCAGAGCAGTTTAGTGTGTTCATAACAAAGTTAATTGCTGCTAGAAAAATAGAACAATCATTTATTTTGTGTGGTTTTCATATCAAGACATGTTAATGAAATTATGTTAAAAATATTTTTTCCAAAGATTTTAGGCATGACAAAGTATTTTATTGATGGAAGGTTCCCTTAAACTAGTTCATCAAATAGTCAGAAGTAAAAGGGAAACTCATTTGTCCAGCTATCTGGGAGAAAAGGAACGTTGTCCCTTTTACGGTATGGGTGGATCCAGCTTCTGAGGCTCATGGGCTCCCACTCCCAGCACTGGCGAGCTCGCACTGGCTCACCAGCCTCTCCACTGCCCCACTGTATGGCTGGAGCACACAAAATCTACTAGGCTTGGCCTCCCTAGGCTCTGATGTGCAAGCGGAATCTGGGGAGTGTGTTCTTTCTTGTTAGTCAGGGGCCACGTCAGCAAGGGGCTTGGACATCTCTTACTCCTCTCACTGTTCCGAAAAAGCAGATGCATTCCCTGGATCCGGCAGAGAGTTTCCAGGATACCTCCAGTGTCCCAGAAAAACTATGCAGTGTAGACATAGCCAGAGAAGTAGAAGGGGAGTAGGGATAGATAGAAAGGACAGGAAGATTTTGAAAGCAAGTCTTTAACTGTTAATTACTATAGTATAAAAAGTGTATTTTAGAGAAGGGTGGTCTTTTTGCTGAATTTATTTTAAAAAGTGCATGAAAATCTAAGCATTTAAGGCTAAAAATGAATACTCGGATGGTATATCTTAATATCTATGCAAGAATTCTTTTAGAGATATAATTTTATAATCTTCAGCAAAAAAACTAATGAAATATTTAAAGCAAATTTTAAGTTAAGGCCCTGTAGACCTAGTAATGTGCAACTGTTTTTGTCAGTAAATTCAGGATTGGCATATGCCTGATAAATGGTTTCATTACTACTTAATGGCTCATTCACAGGTTCAGTGTTATGCTAGTAGGTCTGGCAAGCTGGAAGGCTTTTCACTTTTACGTTAACGGATCCACTTGGGGCAGGATGGAAGAGTCACCAGTCAGCAAGCACCAACAACCTGCTTCAGGAGCCTTCCAGAATGGTCAGAATAGGGTCCAGAAGAGGGATAGGTTGAGTACTAAGACCCAGGGAAGGCGTTTCCTCCCCTTGTCTCGCTACCCTTGCAGAAGTCCATCTCTTCAAGCTGAGAATCACTCCTTCAGCTCCAAGCAGAGATGTACCCTCAGCCTGTGTATCTACCTCTGTTCCTCATCTGTGAAATGGCAATAATAGCAATGCCCTACCATACTAGGGTGTTGTGAGGATAAATACAATTGACTGCTTCATGAATGCTACACTAAAGGAAGGCATTTCCTGCACTGATATACAGGAAAAGAGCATTGAAGAAGAGCAGGAGCATAACTGAAAGCAGTCTTGCAAGTTTGTGCAGATGTTCTTCTGATGTGGCATCTCCACTATATTGAAGGCAGGGCAATCCATTCTATAAGATCCTTTGCTAATCTCTGGGGCTACGTCTAGACAGTGGAACTATTTTGGGATACTGGAAGTATCCTGAAATAGCTATTCTGCTCTTTAAATACTCTTGTTATTTTGAAATCAATTTCAAAATAATGGGTGTGCTATTCTGGTCCCTCGTTCCACAAGGATTAAAGAAAGTTTCAGAACAGCACTTTATTTCAAAATTAGATCAAAATAAGATGCACAATTTGCATAGTTCAGATTGTGTATCTTATTTTGACCTACAGGTGCAGCGTAGACAGGAGCAGCCTGTGCCTATCGTCAAACTCGGCAGCCACCTAGGGCGCCAAGTTAAATGGGGCGCCAAATTTCCTGTCACTTCCCATGCCTATAAGCAAACTCGGCAGCTGCCTAGGGTGCCAGTTATATGGGGCACCAAATTCCCTGCCACTTCCCCTTCCCCTTCCCCTAAAGCCTGGCTTCAGCCCCGCAGGAGGAGCACGGCGGCTTCCCTGCACCGCAGGAGGGGTGAGTTGGCCCCTGAGGAGGTGAGGAGTTGGCCCCAGGGGATGCAGTACACGGGAGTTCCCTGCACCTCAGGAGGGGTATCAGCCCTGGGGGAGAAGGCACACGGGGGTTTCCCTGCGCCACGGGAGGAGAGGGGTCGGCTCCAGGGTAGGCACACACCAGCTTCCCCTGCGCTGCAGGGGGTTGGCCCCGGGAAAGGCACGTGCAGGGGTTCTCTGTGCTGTGGGGGGGTTCAGCCCCAGAGGAGGAGGCATGCGGGGGTTTCCCCATGCCACAGGAAGGGTGGTCGCCCCAGAAGAGGCATGTGCTGGGTTCCCCCGGGGGGGGGGAAGAATCCTGGGAGGAGGCGGGTGCAGGGGACTCTCTCCCCCCACTGGCACCCTGTTCCCTCTCCCTACTCCTCTGTCCCCAGCCACAGAACTCCATCCCCAGCCCCCCTATCCTCAGCCACGGAACCAAAAATCTCAGCCTATATCTGCCCTTGGGGTTGTGGGCGGGGGCGCTGATTGCATGGTTCACCAAGGGCGCCAGTTGCTGGCAGCTAGTCTAGGGCCACCCCTGAGTATAGATGCACCTTGTTTGGGGGGGGTTGTTTTGTTTTTGGGTTTTGATCCATCTGGGATACAATATCATCCATCCAGATCTTCTTTTTCTGACAACTTTCCCTTCTGGTGGCCATAAACATCTGACTCTCTTAAAATATACCCTGCTCATAAGATCTCTGATACATTCATTACAAATAACAGTGCTTTCATTTTTTACTGAACGGCAACCGCAAGGATCCTACCTTTCACTTTGAAAGATCCGCAAACACTTTACAATCATTCATCCACTACTAAAATGCAGTCACTTTTGAAGTCGACCTCAAAAGCTATTTTTGTTGGGAGGCAGCATATCCTAGTGGATAGGAAATGGCTCGGAGTCAGGTGATCAGGGTTCTATTCACAACACTCCCAATGAATTCATAGGTGATTTCAAGCAAGTTACTTCATCTCTCTGCTCCTTTGCTTCTCCATCTGTAAAATGGGGATAATGCTACTTAACTTCTATATTTACTTTTTTGAGGCTTACAAATGAAATGTGAGAGCCCTTTAAAGTGCCAAGGTTCTGAAAGAAGGCATAGCTGGAGAGTCTCCTACACTGAAGCACATATGCACACCTGACTTTTTAATGTGGCCCAAGAGTCACAGTTACTTAAGTCAACATCTTTAAGAGGAGAATAAACAATATATAAAAATAAATGTTCTGCACTTAAAACATTTCTCCTTCCTTCCCTCCTCTGTGTGTCACTTTGTATTATCACTGTCGTCAAAAGGGGTGTGTATAAGAACCTGAAAAACCAAACGAACCTGTCTGTAAGGAGTTCCATATATCACAGCAGTGCAGGTGGCTTTATTTCCACAGTGCTGTGCATTGCTGCTGCAAAGCCACTGCCTTCCCCTTGCTTCTGAGACCTCCTTTTGGACCTAAACATTCCGACGGGAATAAGCACCCATCTGCACGTAAGCTCAGTTTGTTTATTGATGTCCATATTTGTTAAACTGATTTCTAGCTGCCAAAGCAGCATGTGGGCTGTGCTAATTTATCAGTCATCCACCTGATGCCATTTGTGTTTGGGCTTCAAACCAGTTGTTCCGACCAACCCATTTAACTTCAATTTAATACATTATTCATTGAGGTGTGCCTGTCTCCTATCCTGCAATTGAACCTCAACAAACATGTTTTAACAAATGAAAAATCCAGACCTGTCTCATTAAACCAAAAGGAAATTTAATTGCCTCTTGCAGCCATGAATAAGGGGAGCAAAACTACCATTAAAAAGATCTCCTGTTTAAATAAATGACGTCTCTCCTTCCCTTTTTTCATGGAAGCAGATATAGAATGTGTTTAAAAACAGTACCAGATAATGCTATCTGATGTACCTAAATTAATAAGAATCTGTTCATCTAGAATATTTGAAAAAGAAATTAGCCCTCCTATTGACCTTGAGAATAAATATATCTAACTGTAAAATGCACAGTTATATATGGGACCAACAGTATAAACCAGGTACCTCTCTAAAATGGGATTTTCTCATCTGTAAATTAGGTTTGTCATCTGTTATAGTGTGTTGCTGAACTCTATAGTGATAGCCACTTTGTCTCTATAGCTGCAAGCCAAAAATCAAACTAGCATTAAAGCTGCAGCAGATCTAGAATTTCCCAGTTTGGAGAAATAAACTCTGTTCAAACCAAGTCATAGAGATCAGATGTACATTCCGATCTGAACTTCTCCATAATGTGATGCGTTGGCTCTGGATCAGGCCTATCTTCACTTCTAACAGAATTCATATTACCCTAAAAGTAGCTATTCGGCCTTGGAAAATCCTCACAAAAATTCATTAGTCAAGGCATGATCTCTCCTGTCACAATGATAATGAGGCTGTAAAACTAACAGTATTTTACCTGCCTTTCAAAAACTTGGTAGGAAAGACATGACTTTCCCTTCAAAGCTAATACATTCCCATATGTAAGTACAGTAGTGACAAATTTCCAAATGCTAGTTTTTAAAAAAATCAGCTGCAAAATTAGGTGCACCACAAAGAGGATTTGTTTTCCCCCACCTGCACAGATTATGTATTTCTAGTAAAAAGTACTTTTAGAAACAGCATTGTACATGCAGGTGGTTGATTTGTTTGTTTGATGTCTTGCCATCTCTTGGCTGTTTACAGAGACAAAGGGTGAAATCCCTTTGTCTTCAATAGTGCCCAGATTTCACCCCAAATATCTAGGTACTAAACTGATGTATGTTGCTTTATGGTTGGTGCGCTGGGTCTGACCTGCCGTAACTCTCTGCAGTATTAATGCTCCATGATCTGATGCAAAAATAACAATTTAATTGTTTTAATAATTGCAGAAGAATTAGGAAAGGATTTTGTATAATGTTAGATCCTGTATCTAAAATGAAATAATAAACTTGTCATTACTCTGCCCTTCTAACCTGTGTAGTATAGGTCACCTATTTCTATGTAGGGCTCCACTAGAAGTAATGTTGCAATACAGCAGCTCAAGTGATCCACTGAGTGTTTGAATGTTCGTGCGTTCCTTTCGCTGTGGTATAGTACATTAGCGCTGCATATTTTCTGGGACATGCACACCCTTTGGACCTGATTAAAGAGAATTTTGGGGGCATCCCAAATGTTCCAAATGTCCAAGTCTACTCCTATTTCATCCAGGTAACTAGAAGTAATGTTGCAATACAGCAGCTCAAGTGATCCACTGAGTGTTTGAATGTTCGTGCGTTCCTTTCGCTGTGGTATAGTACATTAGCGCTGCATATTTTCTGGGACATGCACACCCTTTGGACCTGATTAAAGAGAATTTTGGGGGCATCCCAAATGTTCCAAATGTCCAAGTCTACTCCTATTTCATCCAGGTAAAG